TTCCAGAGATGGCCCACATTTTCCCTAGTCTCCTTTTTATCACTGAAGTACCTATAAAAGCTTTTCCTGTTGCCCTTGACATCCCTGGCCAGATTTAATTCTGTATCAGGGCTTTAACTTTCCTAACCTGATCCCTAACTGCTCGTACAATTTCTCTGTATTCCTCGCAGACTATCTGCTCTTGCTTCCACCCTCTGTAGGCTTCCTTTTTGTGTTTGAGTTTGACCAGGAGCTCCTTGTTCATCCATGCAGGCCTCCTGGCATTTTTGCCTGACTCCCTCTTTGCTGGGAGGCATCGCTCCTGAGCTTGGAGGAGGTGATCCTTGAATACTAGCCAGCTTTTTTGGGCCCCTCTTCCCTCCAGGGCTTTGTCCAATGGTACTCTACCAAGCCGAGAATTAGAAGAAGTTCTCCAGGAGGTTTTGGAATCTCCATCGCTGCAGGTTTTCCAAACTGAAGTGGACAAGACCCTTGAGCAAAATTATCTGACTTTGAAGTTAGTCCTACTTCAAGGAGTTTGGACTAGAGAACTCCAGAGGTTCCTCCCAACCTAGATTTTTTCTATGATTCTATGATTCTATGATTCTAAGTCCAACAAAGTAAGAAAGTTTTGTAATTTCCATTATATGGCTAGGAAATCTGAGGTACCTCCATTCTAAATGAGTTATTGGACATCACAAGGGAGTCCATTGCAAAACAAGAAAGAGGACCTTGGTTCCTAATAGCAGACCTGTAGTTTGACTATATGGACAAAAGTATTTTTCCAATGGACTGGATATTCAGCTCCAGTTTTAACTACTGAACAGGGTAAAAATGATTGAGTTCTCAGTGAGGTTTGTAAAGCATGATAAGTTTTGGTGACAATACTGGCTACTCTTGCCCATTTGCAAATCATAGAGAGCTAGTAAGAGAGGACAGGGAACATGCCTTTCTAACTGGATGATGAGACCTTTCAATATGAAATGAGGTGAAATAACTAAATTTTCTAGTATTTTCCCATGGAAAGAGAGGATAAGAAATTGTTTCTTCCCTTACCCTATATCTGAATTTTCCTTTTTTATGGGAAAAGAATGGAAAAATGCTCAAATGGAATACTTAGTGTTCATTTATGGTGTTGACCATGTCTGACAGCAGTTCAGATATTTCTGGCCTGAATTCTCTAATATTATACTTCAACCATACACAATCTTCTAGATGAGTCAAGGATTGCTGCTGGGGGTGGAGTTAACACTGTTCGGAAATTCTTCCCTGAGACCTGGATTTGGGATCTGGTTCATACTGAGTGAGTATTTTTATTTTCAAGTCTTACCTCTCGTGGATTTTTGAGTTGGTACATGCTGCTGAAATGAATTTTGGGAAGAAACCATAGAATATATGTCTGCTTTGTAGATGCGGGTCTCCTCTTCCCATCTTGCTCAATGAATGTTGAGCTCCCGACCTTGTGCACAGTGTCAAAACTATTTAAGCTGTCAATGACATCTGGTCTGTCCTCTGCCCCTGTACTTCTCATGAGGAGAAAGAATTAAGGCTAAGAGTAAAATAGGAGCATTTGTTTAGGAGAGAGCCAGAGCAAAACTTAGTATTTTTCATCATATTTTTAATTCAGCAGCAGCAAACTCAGGTTATTCTGTTTTTCTTTGCAGGCTATCATAGCATCTGCTATGAGAATATCTCCATCTTAACTATGTATCCAAGGGCTGCTCTAGAACATTAATCCAAATTTATTGGATTAATCTGTATGTTTGGGCATTATGGTATTTAAACAAATGTTATTTCTAAATTAAAATAGCTGAGTATTCTTCCAAGTGCTTTTCAACATTTAGTTCACTAGCACCTTCATCTTTACTTCCAGTTTTATTATATTTTTTAAATATGGAGAGGTATCTTTCAGAAAGTGAGATGAAAACAGAAGTACTAACTCAAGTAGGGAGCCTTTCCTACAATTTGGCTTAAAAATGCCAAAGATCATTTCTCATTCTGTTTTTCTCATTTTCCTCAGTTCCAAGGGAGAGGTCAATATCTTTTACACCATTCCTGACACCATTACAGAATGGAAAGCAAGCGCTTTCTGTGTGCAGGATAATGCTGGGTTTGGCATCTCCTCACCTGTTTCACTGACAGCATTCCAACCATTCTTTGTGGATCTCACCTTGCCGTACTCTGTCATTCGAGGGGAAAAATTTAATTTAGTAGCCAACGTCTTCAACTACCTCAACAGATGTATCCAGGTACATCAAGTTCCCTTTTACTTCCTATACCGTTTGTCTGTTTCCCAGAGATCCCAGCATTCTCCTGCATAATGTGTTAGAAATGCAGAATTAAGTGCTTAACTTATGCTTTAGCCTGACACATTACTCTCTCCCCCTCTCTCCCTGGACCCGTTCCTGTGTCATAACATTAGGAAAATGTGGCTGACAATCACTGTGGCTGGACCACAGAAGATAAGAACCTGCTCCTTATCCCTACATAATTTAGTTCTTTTTGCTCATGAAGGAGGAACTTGAGTAGAGGGTATGGGTACTGTGCTGTGCAAAACACAAGACATACTGAGTATGTTGTGTGCAGCAGTAACTCATAAGAAGACTTGACTAATGAGCACAGACACAGTATACTTCTGTCATGGTATACTTCTTCCAAAACCAGACATTAACGGTGGGCAGAAAAGAGACAGGTTTTCCACTTCTGCAGAGAAATGCCCCATCCTTCAGTTCTGGTACTATCCCACAGATTCAGATGACAAATAGCTTCTCCAGCAAGTCTCCCTTGCCTGCAGCCTAACTTTAGGGGCAGCTTACTTCATTTGTAATCTTGCTCATTCTTTCTTTGTCTCAGATCAGTGCCTTACTGGCAAAGTCAAGTGACTACAAGGCAGAAATCCTTTCACCAGAGGGCAACACAGCAACAGTGTGTGCCAATGAAAGAAAAACCTATATTTGGGCTGTTAGCCCCCTCAAACTCGGTAAGTTTGTCTTTTTATCACCTTAATATAACCCTGTTTGATCTTTCCACCTCTGTCACTCCCACCCTTTAATGCATCATCAATAATCCACAGGCAGGCATTTCTGGGCAGCTCCATTACTTGCTCTACAAATTTAATATTGGACCTGTGCTAAAGTTCCCTTAGACGCACTGAATGAGGGGTGAATTCTTCTGGTATTTTCTCTCTTCTGATTTTTGGTAGTCCATTTGCTGTCAATTTTAGAAAGAACTTTTCGTTTGCTGCATTATGTATGAAATACTGGCAGGATTTCATGTGCCTATGATCTTTCAGCTGACAGTTTCGCACCTAACCAACTGTATTCAGTAAGAATAAAATTTTCTAATAATTTTGGACTGGATTCTCAACAGGCGAAGAGGACATTGGTCCTCCATGATTTTGCAGCTGTGTTAATTCACACTGCCTTCAAGTCAACATTGTCTTCTGAAAAAAGCAGTTACAATAGTTTGCATGTGTAAGTAAGTGCCCCAAAAGATGAAGTACAAAAATAATTTAATTAGCAAAGATTCTTCTCAAAATGAACCACAGATAGACCTTTTCTTTAAAAGGTTGTTTCTAAAATCCTGTAGTGAGTATGACTGATTTATTTCAAACTCACTGAGAAAGATGCAAAGTTTTAGTGAGATGAAATCTGGATAATCAGTGAAATAATACTGCAGAGCTGAAAAAAAGAAAGCTGCTGTCTCTCCCTGTAACTCTGATGATAATGCATTTTATTCCAAGTAAAAAACTCCTTTGGATTTCCAGTTTGCAATACTTGCAGGGGTGATGTGAGTAATGCCTGCAAAGCTGCTCACTTCAGGGTTGCTCCTCAGTGCTGCAGCAGCACTAAGGCTGCTCCTCTGTGTTGTCCCTCAGTAAACAAACTCCATCTGAAGGAAACAGGCAGCAGAGCTATAACTATTGTAACGTTGCCCTAGGCCACCGAAAACTCAGCACAAGGCTAAGAAGAGGTGGAAATCGGTAGTGAGTACAGGATCACTCCTATTTTGTTCCTCATGCTAGGGCCCCAGGCAATCACTCCTTGCCACTAGCAGACAGACATGGAGCCTTCATGAAATGTGTTTCTACTGAGCTGCCTTCAGAGAGAATACATTTCTCAGCAATCCATCAGCCTGGAAGAGGCAGTGAAAACTAGGGGGAACTGTAGACATTGAAGATAACTTTCTTTTCTTGGGCCGATGGGTGGCTTTCCAGGTGAAGTGAAATTCACAATTACTGCTGAGGCCAAACTGAATACCAGAGGTACTGGAAACAGCACATCCCCGGAAGAGGAGACAATTCGCAGGGACACCCTGATTCAAACCCTACTTGTTGAGGTACAGTAGGAAATCTGCATGTGCTTTCTGCTTTGTGGAATCTGCAGTTCCTATAGCTGTGGGTTGGAAGTGTGAGGAGGCAAGACAGCTGACACAGATGGAGCTGTGTGCAGCAGGCTTCTCCACGTGAAAATGAGAGTGTAAATCACAAAGGTCGGCGGCATCCACTGTCCTCCTGTCACTGTCTCCTTCCTGAGATCATGAGCATACATGCCCTGACACTCCATGGATGTCAATAGAGATGTAGCCAGAAGGGGGGAGATTCCACACCTTACCTGCAAGTGCCTTTAGCCTGTGACTCTAATACTGGGTAGTTGGGTTGAGGGCAGATCTGAATGGAAAAGGATTTATCTTGAGCATCATAAAGCAACAGCCACATTGGATTAGATGGATAGAATCCCTCTCCGAGGCTGGAAATGTCTATTTTGTAACTGCTCTCTAAGAAGGAGGGTGCTCTGGACAGGGTGTTGGGTAAAAGAGAGAGGCAGCCATGGACCAGGAGAGATTCTAGTGGAGATAGGACAGGACTGGGTACAAGGCGTGCACTGTCCAGATGGCTACACCCACATACTGTTTTACACCATTAACTTGTTCACGGTTTAATGGTGATGTTCTACACTTTTCTTCCTCTTCCTGACAACTTCCCTGCAATCAAACAGCCTGAAGGAATTAAAAAAGAATTGACTCAGAGCTCTCTCATCTGTACCAAAGGTAAGGCAAGTTCATTCATTCATTCATTTGTTCATTCATTCATTCCAGGAAGTTAGGGGACTTTCTTCACTGTCTTGTAGGTTTTGTCCTACAAAACCAGAGACCCTTCCAGGGAAGAAAAGAGGGTTTCAGGGTCAAGGTGCTGGGCTACAATTCCAGATTTTCAGATATAACTTTGACTCACTGGGCAATTCTCTGCAGCAGTGTCTTTATTGAGACCCAGTCACTGTAGCAATGCTTACAAAGTGAAGACTTCTGGAAAAAAAAGATTATTTTAACAATTCTTGTTGATACATTTTCTCACCAGGCATAACGACTTCTGAACCAGTCTCTCTCAGCCTGCCAAAAAACATAGTGAAGGGATCAGCCAGAGCTTATTTTTCTGTCATTGGTAAGTTTAGCACTTAGATTAAAACCAAAAGTAAATTGCATTTCTCTTGTGCTGCGCCCCATGTACACATACGCAAAAAGTTGAGGAGATACTTAATCTTGATTTTAGAGAAAATGTTTCCTACTTTGCAAAATGGCAATGAAAGACAAAAGTTAGTCAGAATTCTCTCATATTATATCAAAAGAGGACAAAATAGTAAAATTATTTCAATTTATATTGAATTTCACATTATATTGAATTAGCATATCCTGTTCTGTATAGTAAGTTAATTCAGCTGAAAAGTAAGATAAAGCGAACTTCTTTGAAAGAATATTTTGATTACTTGGAAAGAAGACTTCAGAACTTTGTTGACTGCCTCATTTCAAATTTATGCTTTTGCATAATGAAAAGCATTCGTCGGTTTGTAAGTTCCCATAGAAAAAGACTTTCAGGTCCCAATCAACTCTACTAATCTTAAAGTCATTATTAAGACTAACAGTTCTCTTCAGTGAAAATTTTTGGAGGTTCTGAACTCAGATTGCTTTCTAAACGCAATTGTTTCGCATGGCTGGGTCAGTGTGAGTGGTGTTGATACTGTGCAATACAGCCTCTGTAGCTCATCAGCACCACACCTCATTCTCACATGTACACACAAAACAGGAAGCCAGTTGTAAAGGGCAGGGAAGCCTAACCCTTCTAAGGTTACCTGTTTATTCTTACCTGTTTCTCAGAACCCATGCCAACCAGTATTGGTGCTCAGTTTTTTCTCAAATTCTCAGTTTCTCCCAGCTGTCCAGCATCAAAATTAAAAATAAAAATTTAAAAAAAAAAAAAAATACATTTCAGCCTTTCTTCTAAGCTGTGTCTTTGGTTACTGTGGTGACTCTATATTACTCATTGTCCTTGGGTTCATAATAAGGTAACATAAAGCAATGTATAATGCTGTATAAGAAAAACATGTTTGAACTGATCAGACTCCTTCTATCTTTCATTCTCCAGGAGACATTTTGGGTACAGCCCTGAGGAACATGGAGAACCTCCTCCATATGCCTTATGGCTGTGGAGAACAGAACATGGCCTTGTTCACACCCAATATCTATGCCCTGGATTATCTGAATAAGACTGGGCAGCTGACTGAAGAGATTAGAGTCAAGGGTACTGGATATTTATCCACAGGTGAGAGGCTTTCAGATTCTTCCATCTAATATTGTGATTGTATGCACTGAATTCTAAAGCTTTACATGGTGAACACTGATCTCTGAATTCTAGCACCACATTTTTTGCATAGGAGCAGGCAATGACAACACCCCAAAGAAGCATGTTGTACTTCAAGGAGCAAAAGCAGCTAGACTTCAAAGTGGCTGATATTCTTCACCAAACGTACATTACTTAATATTAAATCCAAAAATCTTACTGCTTCAGTTGAATGAACAGCATAACTAGTCCTTTTATGTGATTAGAAAATATTCTTTATTCTGTTTTCAGGGTACCAAAAACAGCTGTCATACAAACACCGGGATGGATCCTATAGCTCCTTTGGGACACGAGATAGAGAAGGGAATGTATGGTAAGTGATAACATTTTCTATTTCCCTAGCACAGGATCTTTAGGGTTTGAAAATGATCAAAATATGAAGTGATTCTTATTTTCAATAGACTAAATGCACATAGCTCAATTAATTTGGATCCCCTAGTAAAGGAGAGATTAATAAACTGGAGATAGTGCAACAGAAGGATGATAAGATGATAGAGGGCTGGAGTACGTAATGTTCAAGAGGAGGCTGAAGGAACTGTGTTTGTTCAGCCTGTAGAAGAGAAGGCTAATGAGGAACCTAGGTAAAACTTTCTGTTACCTAGATGGGGACTGTAAAAAGAGAGAGTCAGACTCTTGCAGAGGTGCACAAAGACAGGAGTTTGTCCTTACTGAAATTGCAACAGGGAAAACTCTGACTGGGTAGAAGGAAAAAAATAATCTTCCCCAGGAGAAGGCTGCAGCACTGAGACAAGTGCCCAGGGAGGATATGGATGTCTCTGTCCCTGGAGATTTTCACAACATAATTGGACAAGAGACTGAGCAACCTGAGTGAGCCTTGAAGTTGGCCCTAGTTTAAGCAGGTGGTTGGACTGGAGACTTCCACAGGTCCCTTCCAACCTAGTTTATTTCATAATTCTATTAATTAATATTAGAAATTACTATTAGCAATCCCCAAGCTATATGACTATACTTAACCCCTGCTCTAAAAGAATGGTTTCAGCACAGTAATGGAGAAACCTCAGGTCAGTTTTTAATATCAGGATTTTAACTGTCTTATTTATTTAAAACTTACAAAGCACTTGTTTCTTTTACTTCAGACATTATGGAGTTTATTTTATGTCATTTTCTATGCATATCCAGTGGCTGGTAAACCTTATTGGTCTTGTTCACACCTCACCTGCTTTGTGTTTCTGGTGCACCTGCAGGCTCACTGCCTTTGTGTACAAGTCATTTGCACAAGCCAGACGCTATATCTACATTGACGACAATGTCCAATCTCAAACTTTGATCTGGCTGGCAAGCAAGCAGAAGTCAGATGGCTGCTTTGAAAATGCTGGGTCACATTTCAACAATGCTTTGAAGGTAACAGAGACAAGTATAGTCCCACACTTCCTGTCCTGACATTGGGATTGATTTGGATCATTTCTGCTAGACACAAGTTTATCACCACACCCTTACTCTTCCTAGTATGGTTCTCTTCTGTCTCTAATATACAAGCAGGGCATGATTCTTTTGTCTGCTATTGATGATGAGGTAGAAACAAGTAGACCTTTCTGAGTCAGAAGTCTCAAGTTTTATTTTCTATCACTGCATTATGTGTTCAGCCACAGGCTATAATGTGATTTATTGCATATATGCAAAAGCCAAGAAAATGCATGAAATAATTTTGGCTCTAATCCTGAGTGAACTTGATCTTTCTTGTTCCCATGCACACAGGGAGACAGAAATTACTTCTGATCTCAAATCTAACTGGTATCTGAACTATGAATTAATTCATATTTTGTTTCTTTCTAGGACATTTGTATTGACTTGTTCTTTGCTTGTTTTTTCTTCAGGGTGGAGAAGAAGGTGAATACTCACTCACAGCCTATGTTGTGGCAGCATTGCTGGAGGCTGGACACTCTGCTGCGGTAGGTATTTGATGCTGTGATGCTCTATTAGCCCAGTCAGCCATTTGTCAAACAGTGCACAAGTCATAGTCCTCACACCCGTATTCTTTAACAAAGTGGTAAATACCTATTGTAGGACAGTAGGATCAGCTGAAGAAATCTGTGTCCAGAACTCTGCAGTTGCCGTTAGTATTTGATGAGTGTTACAAATCAGTTTTGTATCCATTTCCTATGGATTAATTTGAAAAATTCCTGAGGAATCCAGTTGTGTTAAACTGGTTGTGTTAAACTTAGATGGTAGTCTAAGTAGGTACAAAATCCAGACTGAATTTGCCCCCTCCATCCAGAGTCCAGTTTGGAATTTTCTCTGAATTTGCCCAGTCCAAAGTCCAAGCTATCCAAATCTTCAGTCCTACAAACTCTCTCTGCATTTAGATCCGAGCTGTGTTTCCATTTCCCTATGTCATTGTTAATAGTGGAAGGAAACAATGAGCTGCTGGTTGGAATATTTGGTAGACAAGAGGGAATAAGAGACAAGTTCTGTTCTCTGTAATACACTTCCTGCATATCCTTGAGACCCTATTTTTTTTCCTGATTTTTTGTTCTTTGTAAAATGTAGAAGATGAGAATTGTTCCCAATCTGACAAATATGCTCTAGACATGCTGAGTTTTGCAGGTTCCTGAGATACTGTGGTATGGGGCATCATTTAAGTACCCCAGACCAGCAGGATAAAAACATTGTGCAGAATCAAATGGTTCTTCAGCAACATGAATTTACTTCCCAATATCTTCATAAGAAACTCCAAAACCTGGTGCCACATCTATAAGTTAAGCTGCATAGACAGGACATGGTTAGTAGTGTGCTGGTGATGTCTGAGCTGAATTAGAGCTCACAGAGATAGTCTGTAAGGCTAAAAGAGTGAAAAGTTGTCTTGATAGCTATAGCTAGCAAATGAGTAGTAACATCCATCTGACAGAGCCTGCTTCATCATGAAGTCTCAATACGCTTTACATAGTTCTGTAAAAATGATCCACATTTTAAAGCTAAAGCAACCTAAGGGACAAAGGATTCACCTGCATAAGGTCATCTTGCAAGTCAGGAAATAAAACAGTGCTCTGTTAATCTAGCCATGTTGCCTCTAAATAAATGCAGAAAGAAGGCAGCACCACTGGAAAGGCATTTTTTACAGGATACAAACTGTAGGCCCTTAAACAGCCATGGAACATGTATATTTTTAGCATGAAGGACCAGTGATGGCAGCTTAAGCAGTGATGGAAGTGTTTAAAGAGGAGCTGAGACACAAATCCAAGTACCTGACAACCCTACTATGTTTTGCATTACTAGCATCCAGTCATTCAGAGTGGCATGAACTGTTTGGAGACTGCATTTGACAATGGAGTCCACAACCTGTATAACCAGGCCCTCTTTGCCTATGCTTATGGCTTAGCTGACAATGAGAAGAGATGCCAGTTCTTCCTTGAGAAGCTGGACAAGACAGCTACCAGAGATGGTAAGTGCAGTATGGCCATGATACAGGCAATACAGCTGATGGAATGGCCTGTGGTATGATGTAAGCTATTCTGATGTACAGTTTTCTCATTCATGCTGCTCCCTTCCCACTTCATGCCTACTATGCTACTGAATTTATCTCTATGAACTGTGTCTGTGTCTTTCGGCTTCACATAAGATTGAGCTGTGGCCTGATTTTCTTGGAATTATGAAATAATGTAGGTAGGGAGAGATGCCTGGAAGTCTCAGTTCAAGGTAGTAGAAGATTGTACCTAGTTTCCCCATTATCCTTCTCTTCTACACACCGAACAAACCCAATTCCCTTGACTATGTCATGTGCTCCAGTCTGCAACTGCCTTAGCATCCTTCTGCTGCACTGCCCTCACTTCAACCGCTAACAATCCCTTTTTATTAATTCCCTTTCCATCCCTTCCTGTTTTCTTTTCCATCCTGGAACTAAAACTTATCCAGTTCAGGACACTGATGGCTGAAAAAACTTTTGAGTAAAGGCAGAGAGGGCAGATAGTATGCCTATCATCTCCCACATGATACTGTAGTGAATTAACCAGTAGGTAATTTTTCCATGCTTTTTACACTCCACTTTTCTGTTTTCAGGTGGTTTAGTTCATTGGCAGAGAGAAAAAAAGCCACCAGCAGACGATTTCCCTGTCTTCTATTACCGTGCTCCTTCTGCTGAGATTGAAATGACCAGCTATGTGCTCCTGGCTTTACTCAACAAAGCCAAACTCACTCCAGAAGACTTATCTTACATTTCTCGCATTGTGCACTGGCTTGTCAAACAACAGAACCCATATGGTGGTTTCTCCTCCAGCCAGGTAACAACTGAGTATGGTAAAAAGAAAGCTTCTGGGAGCAGTCCAGCCTGCAAGTTGGATCTCGATAGCATGGCATATCTTCCTGATTGTATATTCATTTGAATAATATTTGATAAATGGTGCTCACATAAGTCTCCTTGTCAGGGCACATCATGCTCATCATAGGCAGCTTCATATGTATTTTAGTTTTAGGAAATGGGAATTTACCTGAATTTCAAGTTATCAGTAGATAGCAGTCACTGTGGATACAGCATTATCCCAGGTTTTCTGGAATAATTCAAATCTGTTGCCCCAGAACTTGTATCTTGTCCCCTTAGCTCTTTGCAAAGTCCCCCTCCATTTATGAGCACTGACAAAGCATCAGGGAAATAGGAGCTGTGCTAATCTCATGCACCATCTGACAGCTGGGTATCTATCTAATTAGGGATCATGTTGTTCTTTTCAGGATACTGTTGTTGCTCTCCAAGCTTTAGCCCAGTATGGATACCTCACCTTCTCTAAAGAAAGTCTTAACACAGTCAAAGTCAACTTCATGGAGTCCCCTAGTAGGGCTTTCCAGGTGAACGACAAGAACCGCTTCTTACTGCAGCAGGCTTCCTTACCCACTATTCCAGGGAAATACAGTGTGGAAGTGAATGGCACCGGCTGTGTCTATCTGCAGGTAAGCAAGCTGGAAACTCAGCACTACCCCTCTGAGAACTAAGCAGGGGGTCCTCCATACCTCATTCTCCTTCATACCTCATGCCAAAGCCACAAAAGCCTGTAAGTCTGTGACCATGTCACACTTCCCATCTCTTTTAGACCACCCTGAGGTACAACGTCCATTTGCCGAAAAAAGTTGCAGGATTTTCTCTCTCGGTACAGCTGGCCAATGTATCCTGCACAAGCAATTTCCCACCAAAGTTCGACCTTGTCCTCTCCGCCAGGTAACTTCCTCTTATTGACCTACCTCCTTGCATTCCCAGTTTGGTAAAGCATCCAATGAAGGATTTAAGTACAGGCAGTTAACTGCTACTGTGCAGCTGCAGCAAGACAAACAGGATCATTGGGAGCTGAAAATGTCATTCACTGGTCTCCTCTCCATTTGCAGACCAGACTAACAGAACTTTTCTCATTTTAGTTACACAGGAAACCGCAAAGTCTCTAACATGGCTATTATTGATGTGAAGATGCTCTCAGGTTTTGTTCCTGTAAGATCTTCCCTGAAAAAGGTAAAGAATGGGAGAAAAGTGAATGGTAAACCCTGAAAAGATAGGAAGTTGATAAAAATAGTCTGTGATTAATAAATTGGAGCCTAATGGAAATTCTGCAAAGGCTATAGGTCCCTCCCAATAGCCTATTCTGTGTCTCAGACTTGTAGCTGATGACAAATCTGTTAGGAGTTGCCAAATCCAGTAGCTCAACAGAGGTGAGACTGCTGCAGCTTCACTTCCCCAGCCCAAAGCAAGACTAAGTGTGTATTCCCAATAGGCAGATGTGCACACTTATATATACATAGATACATATACATGGCTGGCCATACAAATCAACAGAGATAGAACAAACAGCACGTACACAAACACAGCACGAATGGCCTATCCTGTTCCCCTTTCTGACTGATCAGACTGAAAGCTCATTTGTGGAAAAGATAAATATCATAGAATCATAGAATCATAGAATGGTTTGGGTTGGAAGGGATCTTAAAGATCATCTAGTTCCAACCCCCCTGCTGCGGGCAGGGACACCCTCCACTAGACCACGTTGCCATCCAACCTGGTCTTAAACACTCCCAGGGAGGGGGCATCCACAACCTCTCTGGACAACCTGTTCCAGTACCTCACCACTCTAACAATAAAGAATTTCTTTCTAACATCTAATCTAAATCTACCTTCCTTTAGCTTAAACCCATTACCCCTTGTCCTGTCACTACACTCCCTTGTAAACAGTCCCTCACCATCTTTCCTGTAGGCCCCCTTCAGGTACTGGTAAGCTGCAATTAGATCTCCCCGGAGCCACCTTTTCTCCAGGCTGAACAACCCCAACTCTCTCAGCCTGTCCTCACAGGAGAGGTGGTCCAGCCCTCTGATCAGCTTCATGGCCCTCCTCTGGACTCGAAATATATGTATGCATGTGTGTGCGCATGCACATGTACATGTATACATGCAAATACACAATGTGGATCCCCTTGGTAGGTGACCTCAGACACTCAGTCTGTCCAGTAGCTGCTCCTGGATCCTTGTTCTACCCAGTCACTGGCACCTGGACACACACGCCCTCGAGGCTGCAGCCCCACTCCAGCGGCTGGAACTGAGCCCTGCAGCACCCACATATGTGCATGGTGGGTACCTCCAGTGACCAGCCTTAGACGTGCAGTCTCTGCAGCAGCTGGGCTTGGATCCCCCCAGTCTCCCAGTGGCCTCATGAATGGTACCTTAAATATTTGGCCCAGACTTATTCCTGCTTTGGTAGGTGGCTTCCAAGCTACTTAATGTACCAGCTGGTCTGGCTTTATATTCACTAGTGACCATCCGCTGACACACATATCCACAGAAAACAGGCCTCAAGTCTGGTCTTTCAAGATGCTGGCACCCCAGACACACAGTCTCTGTGATCTGTGGTCCCCTCTTCAGTGGTTTGCACTCCATACACACACGAGCATACAGAATAGAGAGCCCCTTACCCAGGAAAATAATCAGGAACAGTTTAATAAGAAGAGAGGAAAGACTGCAGTGACCAGGTACAGGGCATGGCCAGACAAGTGTACAAACCAACAACCTGTTTACATGCAACCAGCCCCTTTTATCCCATTTTCCTACCCTTTTATCCCATTTTCCCACCCTCTTACCTTCCAGTCAGACTTTATTCCTTTTCTAAAAGTTTTTTAACTTTTGGTTTTAAAAATATACAATGCAGTAGAAAGTGAGTCAGCTCAAGCTGCAGAAATGGTCATGTAATTCTCATTGAAATGAGAGCACTCGATGATAAAAGTCACACACGGCAAAGCTGACTATTAAAACTGTTTTTCATTGTGATTGGTTTGCACTCGTTATGTTATGAAAATACTCAACTTGCATTTCTATTTTGGCCACGAGATGTCAGGGTGGCACAGCAGGAGCATGGTAGCCACTTTAAACATATTTTGCAATTGAAAAGTTATTCATAAGTCTCCTTGGCAAGTCTCCTATGCTAACATTGCTATCATTTGCCTTATTTAAAGCTCCAGTACCAGAATTCTGTTGTGGATCGCGTAGACATCAAGAACAATCACATCCTCTTCTACCTTCAGAAGGTAATTTTGGGAGGTTTCTTTTTGGTTTTATTAAACTGGAAGTTTAAAACAGATAAAAGAATAATCTCATTAATAGCAGATTATCAATACACATCTTCAAGACATAAAGGGACTTTACTCAGACATCAAAAATCTATACACACAGTAGTTGTAGTCTACAGTGAAGAGATATATATTTGGTATTACTTTTAAATAGCATTTTACAAACATAGCTAAGTTTCATTCCATATTGCAAAAGTTACCAGTCTACATAAAAATGGGAATTGAAAGAGGAGAAAGATGAAAATCAAAACACAAGGGATCATAAAATACCAAGAAGGGAGGGAGAGAGGAGCAAAAATAAATAGTAATAATATCTACCTCTCAAACACTAATTTGTATTAGTTAGTCTCCAAGGATGTAATGAGGAAGATTGGAGTCAGTACTCTGAATTAACCAAGATGTTGAGATGTGAAAAGTTTACCCAGCAGGGTGGCAGTGATACAGAAAGGTGTCCACAGCCCCTGTCCATGGCTCCATTCCTATGAACAGATCAACGAGATAAAACAAAGGACAAAGGGAGAAGAGAGCAGGGACACATTCCCAGGCACGCAGGAGAAAGCTTGAAGCTGAGGAAGAAGAGCAAGGAGGAAAGTTTGGGACATCTGGCTGCAAGACTGTGAATGAGGAACAGAACCACAGGGGAGGAGTGGGGAGAAGATTTGTAGGGATGCTGAAGGTGATTTTAGCTGGGAAAAGGCGAGGAAAGAAACCAACAGCAACTTTCAGTGAGAGGATGAATGCTGATGTGCTGAAAGCCACAGTAACCAGGGAACGGCTGGGGTAATTGGCAATGGAAATATGAAAAGGAAGAAAGAAAAGAGCACACAATTTTAGCAAAAAGTCCCATATTGTGCAACAGCTTTTAAACAATTATCTGATTTGACATCAAGTTTACAATCTGAAGAGAATTGTAAAATGGCACTTTGTCACCCCAGAAATGCCTTAGCCTCAGGGGTAGATATGAAAAGAAAAAGTCTGATGCATTTTCTTGTCTTGCCATTTCCAGGTGTCCCAGAAGGAAATCAGTTTCTCCTTCAGTGTGGAGCAAAGCCTGCCTGTCTCAGATATCAAACCAGTGCCAGTGCATATGTATGATTACTACGAAACAGGTAGGTGACCTCAGTAGACTGGAGCAAAACCTGTAAAGTCAAAGTGTTGATCTCAGCATTTACAAGGTGCAGACAGTGAATTTTCCCTTGCTCTCTCTGTGCAAGCTTCTCTTCACTTTTCTGCATTTGCTGCCTTTGTTTCTCAGGAAGAGAAATGGAGAGCAAGCTAGCAATTCTGCTGGTTTTGGTTACTAGACTGAAAAGGGTTTGCAAAAGCATAGACAGTTTCTGCCCCCCTGTCTTTTCATTTCTTGCTTGATTTTAGCATAAAGCAGATTAGAATGTTATATGTCAGGAGTTGCTTTCTTACAAACTACATACAGAAAGAAGTGTGGTTCCACTTTCTTTCTACAGTTTGAACATGATGGTTAAAATCAATAACTCAAAGGCAGCAGTGTTCCTGACTTCCCTGATCTGGCTTATCTCCTACTTTTGCTTTATATTGCCATAGTAGGCTGCAGTCAAAGAACTGTTCCTCAGTGGAATTTAAATACTTAAGTAGGAATGACAGTCCCATTGAACCCAACAGGAGTTTAAGCACCTAACTAGAAATTTAAGTGCCTGATCACCTTTCTCGGTCTGGCCTCAAGGAGCTAAAATTGCATCACACACTACCCAGTTGTGGAATTTATGTTTTCAAAACTGTGGCTCAGATTCCCCCATGCTTTTCTCAAGCTTGGCACAACCTTTGGGAACTGTGTCCTAGCAGATGAGCAGCAGTATCCAGAGAATTGCCCCTGGAGTGCATGTTCTGCCACCTGATCCACATGCTGCATGGTCACAGCAATGATATGTCCTGACAAACACGGCCAGAGGAGCGCATTGGTCTCTGACTGTGCACCCCTGCAGCTGGGTCCCTCGACAACTGGAAGACTACCACAAAATCTATCAAATATTTTCTGGTTCATAATGCATTAATCACAGGATTAATGCACGTGGACTGGGGTCAGAATGATTTCTCACTCTCATGCAAATGTAATTTTCCTTTCTTCATTCCAGATGAATATGCCCTCGCAGAATACAAAACACCCTGCTCCCCACCTTTCAACTGAAATCAGATATGTACCAGGAGAGGTAATGGTTCAGAAGGTATCAGGCAAGCATCTGTAGAGGAAGAAGAGTGTAAGACACTTGGTTGTTTCTGGGAGGGCAATGAAAAACACATAGAAGAATGAGGAATAAGCAAATCTCAAATTGCAGTAAATCAGAATGACACATTCTGGCCCACACTTCAAAAGAGCTTGGGGTCAGTGTGGATCAGAAACTCCAGATAAAGCACTTTTCCTAACAAGGGAGATACTGTGCAATTGTTAAACCTGACCATCCATCTTTTTAGAAACTCATACTCATGACATGTATTCCAGTGGGAGCTTTGTGTAAAGGTAAACTCCTGAAATGTGTATTCTTGGCCACAGATTCCTCTTAATAAATCCAAGATTAGGAAAATAATCTGCTGCTGCTTCTATAGATTTTATTTATTTTGGTCTTTCCATTTATCCCAAAGGAAGATTCTGAAGAAATGGCATTGATCCTCACCTTTTTCAATGATTGAATTGAATCATTTACAAATGTCAGAATTCTAGTCACAGGAAGACAACTTTTATGCAGTTTTTGCCTCTACATTGAAAGAAAATTTTTCTTCAGATTATTTTACTGATCTTTGTAATAAAACCTTCTGATTGGCAATGCTATTTGTCCCAGTCTCCACTCCTTGTTGTGTCTAGAACTGGGTGCTGTAAGGTATTTCATAAGCTAAAAAATTCATAGTTTAGACAGGTCAATCAATGTCAATGACATCCTGACATCAGTGACATCCTGTGGCACAGACAGGATCGGGGCTCTGGCCTGTGTGATGGAAGCTTTCTACCCAAAGCTTCATGGTGGGGGAAATCAGAGAGCTGTAACGCAGAAACTCTTTGAAAAAGGGTTAGGAAGGAATGGTGGATCTGATGGAGCCCTTGGAGGGAGAAAAATGAGAAGATTTGGAGGGAGCGAAAAATGAAGAGAGACACAAGGAGCTTATGATGGGTGGCAAAGTACAAGAAATTTTCCATTGTGCTTTCTAAATTTAGTGAAGAGGTACAGCAGACAGCTACACACTGTGGCTACTGTCCCTCACAGTCTACAGTGACCTGATATGACCTTCCTCCTGACCCGATCACGTTGGTGGAAGGACACAGAAACCAACCACATATCCATATCTGAGCAGACATCTGCCAATTGAATCATATCACTGTGCTGCTCTTTGTTCAGTTGGGGTGTTAGACATAGTCCTAGTTACAGTCTTGGAAGAGACTAGCTTATTTATTATGAAAATGGGCTTCTCAAAGCAGATTTTGATTCCTACAAACACTTTACTCAACAGCAATGTGCCTGCTGTGGGGCAGACCACACAATAGCACAGGAGGTGTTAGAGGAGGAGCAGCCCCTTGTACACCCTGACAGCACTGTTCAGCAG